CTTGGGAGTTCGAGAGGAACACTGTCTGTCTAATTCCTCGACCTACATTCACGTGTGTGTGTAAGGGTGAAAACTCATGTTTGCAAGCTTTTATGTTTCTCTGTTATTGTGTGTGTGTGCAAGTGTGTGTAACAGACACACACACACACACCAACACATACAGGCTGGTTGTGTTTTTCGATGGTTGCTTTCAGGCAACTCATTTCCCCGCTGTATGAAAATCAACCAGCAGAGGAGTTATGTCTGAGTTATGTCTTTCTTTATTCAGTCAAAGTCGTGCAATTGAAGTGCAGACTTCAAATCATTAAACACAGACATGATGTTCACTGATGTTGATATTGATTCACATTAATATTAATGTAAATCACTGATGAGTTGCAGTAAATTGGATCAAGCTATCACTATGCCTGTCATGTAATCATTTCTTTTACATTTGATACCTTTACACAACATCTAATAATCATTTGGCTTGAGTTGGAAAACATCAATGTAGAAGTCTATGATGTGAAGCAATTATCAAACAATAATGAGTGTGTTGTCAAAGCTCATACCTGACCTTGTATAACATGATTCAACCTTTCAAATCATAAAGTATATTGTATCTGATACTAATTGTTGAACATGTCACAGAAACCCCAGATGACTAATTGATCTCCCCCACACCTATGTCCTGTCAGATGTTCCTACACTCCAAGGTCAATACAAAAACCAAACTATTGGGTTGTATCAAACAGATGTATACACTACTGGTGTCTAGTTTCAAAAGTGGTGACCCAAAATTACAACATAACAACATCGCAAAAAGTCTTTTCCATAGTGTAGAATTGGATGGATCAGGAAGTCCAGCATTAAACATCACTGGAAAGCAGCAGAGTTTGACCTCTGGAGATGATCATGTAGTATGACTTTTGGAGGCACACCGACCAAAAAGATCACGAGTAGGACAAAGTGTCATAGGCCTACAGATTCCTCTGTCTTGAAAGAGCAATGGTTCTCAGCTGTGAGCCCCAAAAATAAAGCAATGTCTACTTGTGACTTGTTGTCACAGGCTGCATGAGTTATCACAAGCGTAAGTGGAAATTGATTCCCAACCTGTTTTATGCGGATACGTTTCAGAGGCCCAGAGAGGTAAAATGATCCTATACTTTTAAAAAAAAAGAGCTCTTTGAGAAGGGGAGGGGGGGGGGTGTTGAAATTGGTGTAAAACACATGCAAGGAAATAGATTAGATCTGATTTATCAGAACGCTTGTGACAGTTAAATTTTCCCATCTTTACTGATAATCCTATTAGTGCATGTGGTGTGCAAAGATAATACATGTAAATGCAAAACAGACACGTCTTAGTCATCAAACGGAGCATCGTGATTTGTTAGTATTACTGGCAGGGATTGCAAAACTCAGTGCTTCTCTATGTAAAAAAGTGATATCGTTGTGTAAGGGGGTGAAATGAGTCAGTGACGCTGTGCTGAGCAGGGAAGAAACTGGTGACTAACGGTAACACATAAGCACATTTATGTACGCACTTGCACACACACGTAGGCTACATGTGTTTGAAAAGGCTAAGGAAGCAAAAGATGAGAGAGAGAAGGAAATGGAAAAAGATGTCATTGTTGTTGAAACACTCAGTGCCTCTACCTCCCCAGCTCCTTTTGTTTTTCCTTTTTCTCTCCATCAATTATCCAGAGAAAGTGTCTGTTGTCTCCCTCTGTTCTCTTCCTCACACTGATAATGAGTAACTGTTCAGTGTCAACAAGAGCTCCTCAGACCTCCACTCAGTGAGTGACTGAGTGTGTGTGTGTGTGTGTGTGTGTGTGTGTGTGTGTGTGTGTGTGTGTGTGTGTGTGTGTGTGTGTGTGTGTGATAATCCTATGTAATAATGCCTGACAAAGATTTTTTTTTAATGAGAGAAACTGATGTTTAAATAAGAATTGAGTTCACTTGTTGTTGTGTGTTGGGTTCCTGTGTCGACCAGCAGAGAGCAGTGTGGAGTTGTGAACGTTTGAACTGACATCTCACGGCATTATTTATCATCTGTTTTGTTCTAGTTGTTGTTATACGTTTTCAGTGGTGGAACTCAGTTAAGTACATTTACTGATTTACTAAATAGGATTTTAACCTGCCCTTACTTTCACCTGAGTATTTGCATTTCCATACTTCTACTCAACTATATTTCAGAGGCGACTATTGTACTAATTACTCCATGTTTATTTGATAGTTTTAGTTGCTAGTTTCTTTTCAGATTGAGATTTACATACAAAACATATGATCAGCTTTAAAAAATATGATGCAGTTTTATGAATCATACAACCCAACAATATATTAAGTAATTAGCATTAGCTCCTCAAGCAGTTACTGCATTAAAATGCTGCTGTAATGCTGTGACACTGACAGAGGCTGGTTATACTTTTGTACTTTGAATCAATTAAAAGCTTGAATCTGAATTCTTCTTCCACCACAGTGTTTTTTTTTCTTATTTACTTAAGATTTCTGCTCCTTTTGTACATGATTTGCTATTGTGTTCAACAGAGATGTCTCCTTTTGTGTGCCAGAGTTTGGGATTGTGTGAGGGAGAAAATGAGAGCAAGAGAGAGAGAGAGAGAGAGATTTTGTTTGTACTGACCCAGGCTGAGGGGATCTTGAGTGTGTAGTGTGTATATGTGTGTTGTCAGAGTTTTAGAGAGCTTTGCCCTGCCAGCTGTGTAAACTTGTGCTGGCCACACTGCGACTGTGTCAGCACCCTCAGACGGAGGCAGAGGAGAGAAGCGAGAAAAGTTGAGGAACGAGGAGAACAAGTTACACTGAAGGGTAAGATATATGTTGATGGGAGATAAAAAGAGATGAAAAAGAAAGTAAAGAACTTAATCTTAATCTAGATCCCTCATCTCTGTCACTGTGAAAGCTTCCAAGAGCCGAAGCTGAAGTGATTTGAGGTGTTACAGAAAAGAAGCACAGCACCCAGCACAACAGAGAGAGGAAATGGAGGAGGAAGGGGGAGAGGAAGGGGGAGAGGAAGGGGGAGAGGAAGGCTGAGAGCGGAGGCTGGTTCAGTGGAAGTCCATCCAGACAACAGAGACAAGGCAACGTGTTTACTCATTCTTTCTGCCTATCACGCTGTCATTCATTCCCGTCAGTCACTCAGGCACTAGAAGTCACTGAGTCATGGTCAAATGACTTTCTTTTTTTTTTTTTGTCCCCTCTTCAGACACTTCAGTGGAGCTTGATTTATCTGGACTGATTAGAAAGGCATTTTAATGTTTGATGTTTTTTTCTTTCTTTATCCGTGAGCTCCAACCATGAATCAGTGCTAAATATAAACATACTTTAGGTGGAGTCTCATTGCATTTTTACGTGTCAAGGATTTTAAGGAATTTTGTCATGCTGAGTCACAGCGAAGGTCTGAGTCACAACATAGCACAAGTGTTGGGGGGAAGCCATTTTCATTTTTTGCCACTTTATACTTCTATTACACAAGATTTATGTGACAGCTGTAGTTATTAGTCACTTTTTAAACATGATAAGATTATAAAATACGGTATAAAACCCCTTATAAAAACATTGTGTCTAGTTGGGGTTCGGCTCCTTGTCATGTTTGGGATGAGTTAAGACTTTTCCAGACTGTAGATAACTGTATAAAAAGTAGTTAAAACTAGCTATAACTATGTATTGATGCATCTATATTAACAATATAATAATGCAATATGATAATTCACCAGTCACAGGGGGCAAGTACTTTTACTTTTAATACTTTAAGTCCATTGTGATGGAAATACTTATGTACTTTTACTTTATGTACCCTCTTGAATGCCGGGCTTCTACTTGTGGAGCCTGTGTTGGTACTTTCAGTCAAGTAAACTCTTTAGTACTGAGCTGTCAGTGATTGAAAGAGGACTCCACTCGGGTGTTTGCGTGTGTGTGTGTGTGTGTGTGTGTTGTGATGCACGTCCCTCTGCTATAGAGCAACTTCGCCGGATGCTTATCTGGCATCAGTGTTTTTCTAATGGTTGCTTATTCACCTGAGAAAACAGGATGTGAAGTCTGACTTCATGCTGCAGCTTTTAACTATAAGAAACAACTTTCTTCACACTTTGTACAATATTAACTGCTGAATCTATTTCTACAGTGTGCATGTGTGTGTGTGTGTGTGTGTGTGTGTGTGTATATGTGTGTGTGTGTGTGTTTGTCGGAGCACTGCCTGGCCCCAGATAATCCTCTTCACAGCAGCGGCAGTGTTTTACACATGACTGATTCTTATTCCTACTCTCAACTTGATCTCTCTCTCTCCCTCTCTCTCTCTCTCTCTCTCTCACACACAAACACACACACACACACACACACACACACACACACATAATTGTTACACATTTATTATGGGTTGACCTTTGCCCTGCTGTCACAAATGCCACCAAGCTCTGCTGTATAACACAAAAATCAGTAACTTTATGAAAGCATCCGCTCGTCTAAACACCAGATCCAGTAAAGTTTAATGCAAAAAAAAAAAAAAAAAGAGTCTGTGTATCACGTTTTACAAACACAGGCCTGCATCAACACACTTCTGGGCACAAATTCACAAAGAAGTTGAAGGAAGGAAGGAATTTGAAATGAAACCTCAGGGACAAATCGTGGCAAATGTCTTGAACAATAAGAATTATCTGGATTCTCTGTTTGAAGACAGTTTGGGATTCAGCAGGTAACAAACGAGACATGATACCAAAAGTCATGGAAAATAGCGGCCATTGTCAGTCATTCTTAGAAACTCTTCTATAGCATCCTCCTCTCTATCTCAGATTTCCCTTTCCTTCACATTCTTCCACAGTCAAATTCGCTTTAGTCAGAGGGCAGGTTTTTTTTTGTTTTTTATTAAGGGGGCTGGGCCACCAAGGTATAACTCCTCCCCTTCTGGCTGGGATGGATGTAGGGAGTTAGGGAGAGAAGGAGGGGGCAAGAGAAAGAGAGAGAGAGAGAGACAATAGACTTTAATCACTCATGTGGTTGAGAGCTGTTGGCAGGCTGAGTTCCACGCACGCTGAGAGGGAGACAACAACAAAAAAAAACAGAAGAGGGAAAGATTGAAACTGTATGTGGTGCGTGGTGGTGTCTGTGTGTGTGTGTGTGAGTGTGTGTGTGTGCGTGGTCAGTTGAAGGAGAGGAACAGGAAGGAAAAAGACTGAGACGGACAAATTGAGAGGAGAGTTATCATCAGTGTCACCTCTGAGCTGAAGACAAGGCAGTTAACAAGCAGACTGAGAAGAGAGGAGGAGGTGACCAAAACATCTGACCTGAAGGAGCCCAGCTGACCCTGAAGAAGCGCTACACGTGAACACCACCTCAAGAGATCTCTCCACACTTCTACACGTCTTCATCCACCCTGCTGTCCAAACTGGAGTATGTCCTGCCATCCCTGTCACCCCTGCCGCTGATCCAGATGGTCAGCATGATCTCCCACTACCCTCTGGCCACTCTCATGCCTTGGCCTGCGAGTCCCCACCACCACTTTCCCAACCTGGACTGCACCTTGCTGCTGGAGGGGGAAGGAGGCGTCGCCCTGCAGAGGTACCAGCCTCGGTACCCGGAGAGCAGCCCACGACACTGGGTGAGTACAGCACATGCAGTACACGGCAGAATAATTGCGTCTGTTTATCGAAGTCTGTATTTATTTCTGGGAGGCACAGGTAGTCCCAGTCTTGTTAAACAATCTGGCAGATGTTGGCCTTCGCTTGAATGGCCTTCCTGTGCCTTCTGTTGTTTGGAAAGCGAGTGAGGTGTCGCAGGGGATATTTGATATCAAAAGGTTTTGATAGATTCAAGGATGGGAATGGGAAGTGGGATGTGTTTGGAAGATTGAGATAGTAAAACAAAAAACAATTCACTGAGGAAAAGGGATGGAATTATAGATAATGTGAGGGGCAGAGTGTTTGTGACTCCTCCAAGGTCTGTTTGTTGGATGTCTGTGGCGACTGTGAGAAAGTAGAAGAGAGTGACAGGAGAAGAAACGTGGGAAAAGAGTGTTTATGTGTGTAATTATGTGTGTGCATGCATGAAGTGTTTGACTACAGCTGAGGAGTCAAAAAAAGCGAATCTGTAGCCGGACTCAACAGTTCTGGCCTGGCTGGCGGTCACATGGTCAACTCGCCGAAAACGAGGGTCATTTTAAAAGCAAATGAAAAATCAAATCAAATAAAATACATCCAAACACCTATCAATTTTCTCAGAGATCGGCGATTGGTTTGTCACTTCACCAGTGATTGTCCCGTGTTTCTTCAGTTCCTCTGTTTGACCCCTGCTCAGTGAAATTTTATGCAATAAGTTGACAGCTCATAGTGCAAAAATGAAAACTAGACAGTAACCTTTGGTGGCACAGACGAGAGGACAGCTGACCTCTTATGAAAGGCAGTAAATTGCCATTCACTGTAACTACCGCTTAGTGTGTGTGTGTGTGTGTGTGTGTGTGTGTGTGTGTGTGTGTGTGTGTGTGTGTGTGTGTGTCTGTGTGTGTGTGTGTGTGTGTGTGTGTGTGTTGCTGACTGGTCAGAGTTCACAGAGAAGGCATTACTCACTTTTCTTCAGAAGCCATAATGCCTGCGTCAGCCAAAAGTAGAGCTTGACATTTCTTTACATTGCGCTTCACGTCAGAGTCCATGTGTTTTGTTTATTTGCCTCTCTTTAATTCGTCTGTGAGCTCGCAGATTCCTCATCACACTGTAATTACCAGAAAACAACCTGCAGCGACAGCTTATTCCAGCTTAGTTGTGGCTAATTGTTTTCCTGTGCACGCTTGTGGTATTGGGGACAAAGTGAAAATATTTTTGGTGTTTACAAATGACGCAGGGAGATTTTGTGAGAAGAGAGGCTGAGGTCTGAAAACCGGCCTGCTGAAGTGTCCTTGAGCCATACTCTGAATCCCCAGCCACTCCAGTGCTGGTGGTCTGAGACATCAAAAGGAACATTTCCAATCAGGGATCAATTTATTACCTCAATACCCCATTATACTTACTTCAAAAATAAGCTAACCCTCTCAATGAGTGATTCATTTTATGACAATATAGCTCCTCTATGTAAGTTTCTGTCACATGACTATCACACACAACGGCGGTGCCTCTGTGTATGTGTTGAGTGCTGGGAGATCAGCCTCCTCGCTGCCTATCTGACATCCTGGCTGACGGGTCCTCTCCCATCTCACAGCACTGTTTCCGCCAATTGTTTCCAGGGGTAAGAAGACTGGAGGTTAGTTCGCAGACGCTCACGCTCTCCGCATGCTGCGAGGTTCATCAGACAGGCTTCAGCTCCGCATGCCAGAAGTTAATTCCATGTGACTGTTTTTACAGTATTGAGTTGTGATTGTCCTCACAGCTGGGCTGTAGACAGCAGTAAGGGTGATTAGAAAGAGGGGTAAATACCTTCCATAAAGTTATACAAGTAGAGGGAAAATCACCAGTGGCATAATCATTAAACTTGAGGTGAAATTTCTACTTGGGTCCTGCCATTTTGCAGCAGCTTCGCAAACCATCCTATTGTCACAAAGTACGTGCACACACTGCACCTTTCTTGTGATAAAAGGCAATAATTGCATAACCTCTCCACGTCTTCTTTTCTAAGTCCATCAGCTGGCCTGGCTGCCTCAGGAGACTTTGCCTTTACTGCTTTCATGTGTTCCTGCTCCACTAACTTTTTGCCTATCTGCATGACATTATGAAACCATGCCTGTCATAAAGTCAGAGATTGGACTCATTACCTCTGTGTAATGACCCTGTTGTGCAGTTATAGACTGCTGTCAGGTCCACAGTTCAGGTCAGAGACGAGAGAGGAGTGCTGAGGTGTTGGCCATTATCAGCGGTCCACTAAAGGGCAATGAGACTCCCACATGACCGCACAAGCAAAGGGACAGAGTGATTGACAGGAAGATGGAGAAACTAACACTGATACAGACACTTCATACTTCGCAAAGAATAAACTTAAATATTCCAAATAATCCTGTGTTGTTCAGGCTTTGGAGGATGTGTCAGAAGAGGGAATTACAAAGGAGATGACCAAGTTTGAACCCATCTGCACAGAAGTGAGAGTGTCAACAGCCACACACACACACACACACACACACACACACACACACACAAACACACACACACACACACACTTATCAGCAGGTTATCACAGTGCATTTTACTGCTCTAACTGCATTTTAAAGTTTGCAGTGTTCTTTTACAGCCTTCTCCCTCTCTGTCAGTGATAGGGCGATATAATTAAGCTGCAGGCCGATCAATTAAAACTCCAGCTGAGGGAATATTAACTGCTCCCTCACACCAGCTCACAATTACCAGCAGGGCAGTTCAATAACCTCATTCTCTGGAAATGCAGAAGTGACTTTCTACAGGGAAAACAGGGACAAGGGAAGAGAAGGGGGGGGGGCACAGAGATTTTTGATGATGGCGTGTTTTCCATTGAAAAAAGTGAGATAGCTGAGTTAGCACTCCTCCTTCCTCTTTCTTGTCTTTTTGAACAGAGAAGTGCACGTTTCAGGCTGATGCTCTGTGACGTCTCAGTGTTTCCATTCCTAAAGTGTTTTTTTTTTTGTTTGCGTCTTGCTAGTCATGTGTTTTGATGAGTTGACAACGATTTCAGAACAGTTTGTGATTCATTCATCCGGCTAAGACGAGTTCTGTAGCTTTTAACTTGTTTTTTTTTTTTTGCGGCTCTGTGGGTTAATTCTCCATCACATTTTTACAACAGCAAACATCTGTAACGCACCATCAAGAAGACATGGACAGGAATGGGTTTCTTGAATAACCCAGTAAGCACTGACAATACAGCACACTGCTGGAGAGACAGTAATCTGCTTCAGTCCACTCATATCTATCCATACTTTCATCTCAAATTACACAATTCACAAACTACCAGACTTCTCTTTTCTTCAAAATCCAGGTCTCCGTCATCCTTTCATCCAGGCGACCACTTAAGATGATGTTTACACACTCGGGTGACCTCCAGTGTGTCAAGTTGTCTAGTCGCCTGCAGCAGTTCATATTGTGATCTTGGGCCTAATTAGGTCACATAATGGGACTGGTGTGAAAAGTCAATACTGTGGGCATTGTCCCAGAGCAACAACACCACAGGAGCAGCTCGCTCAACTGGGGCAGAAAGGCATCACACCATATGGAGATGGGTGTGTGTTTTGTGGTGGTCTGTGTGTGTGTGTGTGTGTGTGTGTGTGTGTGCGAGGGCACCTTGCCACACAAACATAAACACACACAAACACACACACACACACACACACACACACACACACACACACACACACACACTAAATTCTCTGTTTCTTTTCCCGCTCAGGCAGGACATGCAGTATTAGCCACGATGCATGAGTGGGATTGTGTGTGGTTGTGTGTGTGTGTGTGTTTGTATGGCATTAGTGTGTAAAGCTGGGGGCTGCTGGTATCCAGTTATTAATATGAGTGGTCAGCACTCACACAATGTTCAGGTCAGCAGATCACTGACAGTAATAACTCTGCTGAGGTCAAAAACAAAGAAAGAGGAAATATATCCTGTATAAGTTAAACAGCAGGATATTTTATACATATCATAACTTGACATAGAGTGTGTATGTACAGTACTACAGTAGATGTGTCCATATTCTTTTACCATAGTAATAACACACTTATATTTTGATTGGTGTTATGGTAACAACTGTGCCATTAACGCTTGTTTTTTTGAGCTACTGCCTCTTTTTTTTTAACATCTCCGACGTGTGTTGCTGTGTGCATCACTAACACGGTTTCATTTCCTACAATGCACATGCTTCACACTTCACTTTAACACTGACAGAAGTGCAGACGGGCTCAAAATGTCACTCAGTATCAAAATAAGCACCACACCAGGAATGAGATGAAAGGAAGTTAATGCTTTCTTGTACAGTCTTAACAAACATTTCATAAAGCGTAACTTGAAATAGGACAATGGTTGAATTAGTTTTACTTTGTACACACTGATGTGATTAATTGTCTCTGCTTCTGTAGTTTCCTGGTGCGATTTCAGGATTTGGTGAGGCAGCATTGCCACCAGTGTGTTACCGGCTTCAGTCGGTGGTGTGTGTTGTTTTTGTTGCGTATGTGACAACTTCAGAGTAGCATGTATCTGTTGGGCAACAGATGGTCCAGCTCTCATTCGCAGGAGGGGGGTCAGACAGACAACCGAGCCAGTCCAGACTGATTCATTCAAGGCTTAGCGGGGCTTAGATCTAGAGGGGGTCAGAGTTGGGGCCCCATGAAAGGGTGTGTGTGTGTGTGTGTGTGTGGGGTGTGTGTGTGCGTGTGTGTGTGTGTATGTGTGTGTGTGTGTATGGTTGTACTGGGACTTGTCTCATTTATCGTAACTCTTCTAAAAGCAGAGACACCTGAAAACACCTTAGCGTGGATTATCCTCTGTTTAGTGCAACAGTCCGGCTGAACCCATATGGAGGCTGTTTTTGAAAAACCAACAGGAATCATTTTTTTCACAGTTTCATGCAGGCAAAACACCATTCAGTAAATTTGATGTTATCAAAACTGAAAACACCTGAACTTAACAGCACTGTTCCTCAAATTATGTGTTGGTTTCTGTCAC